GAAACGTATAAGTTGTATGTTAACCTAGCGATATGGTTATCGGTGGTTGTAATGTAAGGCAGGTGATTATTTGATAGGTATGTGTGTATAATCATGTTATGAATATACCTTCTTGCTTTGTTAAAGTTGTATTGATAAGTCTATATATATATATACTAATCACACCATAGGATACTTATCTATCATTATTACAAAATTAATAATCCTAAACTAATGAAAATCGGCGCGATATACAAAAACAAGAGAATTTTTAAAGTGCGTCTGATAAGTCCCAGGTCTTGCTGGCATATATGTTTACTAAGTATATACCATTTTCCCCAGTGCCTCCTAGCAGTGTATATGTGTATATAACAGTCAGTGTGTATGTCCGCCTTACTTCATGTATGTGTCTTTTTATATTGCAGTATTTGTATATAACCTCCAACATACACAAGACTCAGATATTTTTGTAAGACATATTAATCATATGATTTTATTTCGATGCATGCCATTAAGAAAAGAAAAGAAAGAAAGTATATATACACGTGAGTGTGTGTGTGTGTGTAAGTATAGCTGGTATCAGAGAGAGAAAGACTGAAAAATAAGGAAATTGATGGAGGGAGGTAAGTCATGTATTTTTTGAAAATTGTTTTCTTATTACGTTTGCTTAATCTGAGGTCAGTTGTGTGATTTATGTAGTAACGATTCTTACCGTATGATTTTATACATGTATTTAAGTCGGGAGCAAGAAAGAAATGCATGTGGTTGGATATTTACATTTTACTTATTCATACGTCATGGACAAAGGTAACAACAAGCCAAGTTTATATCAATGGTATCCGCCTCCGTTCTGAGGGAAGACGACGGCCGGACCGGAAACTTTGGGGTGCTGAGCCTTGCCGGAGTAGCTGACCTTGGCCACGAATCCCCTGCCGTGGTCTGCTGTGTAGTCGACCTGTAGGTGAAAAATTGTAATTGGAAAAAGTATGAATTGTTTTGTCATGTCGCAGTAAATTATTTAACCAGGCGAAAAACAAGGTGTGGAGTATAATTACAGTTTGTTTACGACCGTCGGGGAGGGCGACGGTGTAGGATCCCCACACGCTGTTCCCGTCGGACTTCTCCGTCTGTCCGAAGTTGGTTCCTTTGTAAGCGTCGTTCACTGCGTAGTTGAAACCATATGGTAGAGGGACCTGGAAATGTGAAAGATTAATAAGGAATATGTATGTATATACGCATATATATATGTACGTAGGCCTGTGTTTGTATGAATGAATCCTGTTTTTCTGTTAATACTCCTGTATACATTTTATATACTTACAGCAGCATAGGCAGGTCCGTAATTTGAAGGATTGGCAAATGTAACAGCCAATACTACAAGAAGAGTTGTAATCTGAAAACACATGATGGATTTTATTCATTGGTAGTTATAATCTTCATAAAACTGTTATCCTATTTTCACTGCATTATATAATTATCAATACACAAGGGAAGGGATCCAGTGCGTGTGCAGGTAGTAAAAGAATACTTTTCACTAAAGTCTAAGTGAGCAATTCAAGCACTTCTTTCGTTCATAAGAAACCCACTTGGTAAATCATATCTGCGAGTGAGCGAGGCGAAGCTTGCGACTGATGATTGGAGCGAGACTGGCTAATCATGGATCGGTCATTCTTTATATACCGCTTATTGTCACTAAGAATGGCACTGTGATGACAAAGGTCCTGAACTTTTTACTCGCGGGGGCTCCAGCCTTGGGAGCTTGGTTTTGCAATTTTGAATAAATTTTGTGAAAACTTGATACGCTGTGATAGAAAAAATGAAAATCGTGTACGTGGTTTAATGATAACATTCGTTTTTCTTTTCAGGAATGTTTGCCGGCATGTTGATTTTTTTTCTGTATTTTTATTTAATGTGTAATTCATGTTCGTCATTTAACGCTAAAGAACAAGCGACTATTCACCCTTTTGATTTCACGTTCACTTTAATTCCCATTTATGTTTCACGTGAAACGGTGTATTTATTTTCCTTTGAAGCTGTATATATAAGTTGGGCTGTTTATGCTAAAGTAAACTTATGAATTTGTTCACGGAATGCTAAAGCATCCACACAGTTTTAACTTCTCTTTTTTATGAGTGAATAAAAAATATTTAAAAAGGAAATTAATAGAAATTTTGAAGTAACTCACTTTGTGATTGCATATGTATATAATAAAACGCATTTTTGTTGCATTTTCAATCCATCTATGTATCTGTGTGTGTGTGTATATATATATATATATATATATATATATATATATATATATATATATATATATATATATATATATATATATATATATATATATATATATATGTATATATATATATATATATATATATATATATATATATATATATGTATATATATATATATATATATATATATATGTATATATATATATATATATATATATATATATATATATATATATATGTATATATATATATGTATATGTATATGTATATGAAAAAAATACTCACAATACGAAATGAATCTTGACTCTTCGAACTCAAAGTGTTTCTTGTTAGAAGAACAAATATTCGAAATATATGTATATGAAAATGAAATACCCCCAACAAGAAATTAAAATGAATTATAAGAGTTCTTCAGATGAACAAATAGCCTATATACATATGCGTTTGTATGTGTATATAGATAAATAGATAGATATTTATTTACTCATTTATATATATGCATGTGCATATACAAGTGTAAATTTGTTTATGTATGAAATTTTTCTTCTTTTTCTTTTCTTTATTTTTTATTTAGTTAAAAAATGTTGTAGATCTATATTCCGCACATGTACACGCACGAACAGGCACACCTCTATATTGGCACTTATATTAAACTTTTTCATTCATCGCGGTTTATGGTAAGGCGGATAAGTTTTGAAGTACAATTATTGTTAAATAAAATGTAATTTATTATCAATGACGTAAATGAGAACGTTCGAATGTGATGCTCTGAAGCTATAGATGTATCATTAAGTGCTTATCTGGCCTGTTGTAATTTTCCAGTGTATGATTGGAACGGTTTCAATATTGGTTATTGTCTTGAGATTTATTTAGCTTTTAGTATGCCTATTACTAATTTTCGATAATTGATTGCATATATGATGAATAGAGGTTGTTTTATTTCACGCATTATCTGTTTTTGTGTTGAAATTTCTTTTTATTTTTTTCATGAGAAGGTTAAAATACGTATTTATGTATTCAAATATTTATTTATAGAACTACTAATGATATCCGCCTCCGTTCTGAGGGAATACGACGGCCGGACCGGAAACTTTGGGGTGCTGAGCCTTGCCGGAGTAGCTGACCTTGGCCACGAATCCCCTGCCGTGGTCTGCTGTGTAGTCGACCTGTAGAAAAAATAATTTCTGTTTGGAAGTGCGAAGTGCATGTTCTAATTATTTTGTTATGTCGCAGTAAATGCTGTAATAAGGGTAAAACAGCAAGGTATAATTACAGTTTGTTTACGACCGTCGGGGAGGGCGACGGTGTAGGATCCCCACACGTTGTTCCCGTCGGACTTCTCAGTCTGGCCGAAGTTGGTTCCCTTGTAAGCGTCGTTCACTGCGTAGTTGAATCCGTATGGGACTGGGCCCTAAGAGGAGAAGGGGGTCACTTACAAGTACTAACATAAGTCAGTTCATGTTTAAGTAGGCGTGCTCTCCCTCCCTCCCTCTCTCTCCCCCTTCCCTTCCCCTCTCTCTCCCCCTTCCCCTTCCCCCTCTCCCCTCTCTCCTCTCCCTTCCCCGCCCCATACTTACGGAGGCATAAGCGGGCCCTTGATTCCCAGGATGAGCCTGCACGGTGGCTAGCACCACAAGAACCACAACGACCTGTTTCAAGAAAGTAAGATGATGTAGAACAAGCATCATTTACATAGATAATCTATATAATTCTATGTAACGAATGTGGACATGCTCTTACATTTAATATAATATATATATATATTCAGCATTACTTTCCCTTTTTACCGTCAGTATTTTTTCTCCAATCTTTTAATTGAAGTCTATTTTATTTTCATCAGCAAATTGGTCTGACATTAAATTATATATATATATATATATATATATATATATATATATATATATATATATATATATATATATATATTATATATATATATATATATATATATATATATATATATATATATATTATAAGATATAATGATTTCTCATTAGTACACTTTACACACGAAAACCCACTTGGTAAATCATTTTCTTTGTGAGGTTGCTGTGAAGCTGACGATGGCTGGAGGACTAGTGGCTCAACAAACATTCATGTGATCATTATATACTGTTGACTGTCACGCGTAATGCGTTAATGGGATGACAATAGACCCGTTGTTTCCTGGTTATGAAACTTACCATCCTTAGGGACCCGCATTTCTCAACTGACTGACACCAATATTTGTTGGGGGAGTGTTTTTTTTCTCACTTTTTATTTTTTATTTTATTTTTTTGATAATTCATTAGTGGGTCCGAACCGCACGTATCAACTCTGCTGGCTGGGAGTATCACGAGAGCGATAATTGCTAGGTCGATCGCCGATATTGGTTACTAGTATTTTTATAACGATTTATTTGTAAGAGCGAAAATGAAGTTTTAAAAAAATATATGCTTGTTATCAAAATTAGCTACATTGAAGTTGGGCAAAGTATCCTTTTAGTATGGAATTATTGTTCTTATTGATCTTACAGTCTGATAACTTTTGAAGTGTTCAGAGAAACTTGAAGTTTAAGTTACCTTCCTATTGTTTCTACGTTTATACAGATAATATCAAACCCTTTTAAGCTGTATATACCTTGTATGTATTTTTCCCTATAACTGAGTCTGTTTATCATCTTAGTCGTTATATGGTTTTATATAAATAATAAGGTTTAATACTTTTTACCTTTACATGAGTATGCAACAAAGTGCTCGTTATGCTTTATTTACATTATCTAAATTGGTATAATAGTACTGTATTTTACTTTACTTCCGCGCGCTTTATCCTTTTTTAAAGGGAAATGTCAAGAACTCTGAATATTCGTTACTGCACGATGTCTTATGATATATCTTTCCTCGGAACATGTTACCAAATCTGAAAGCGTATAACATTCCTATTCAGAAAACATTAGTAGGTCTTTACATATGGCTTTTTTTCTTAATTCATTCTGTGATAGCATGATGCGATATCAGAGACAGACTGCTGATGTAATTCAAAGAATCGTTAATATACATTATAGAGATAGATTGCATGTTAAATGTGAGACTGTTATTTCAATTTACATACGAATGCATATACTACTCCATCTTCTTAATTCCATGTATTATTAAGCAGTTTTTGTAATTGCATATTGGAGTGTTATATAAATCTAAGAACATCGTAAGCACCGATTTTTCTTGAGGAAGAATGTATATACAAACTCACAGAAATATCCCATTAAGGTCTTCCGTTTTGGTAATAGGAAGGCGGAATCACTGCCGGGGGATTCTTGTAATGGCTGACTTTTGTCTAGGAACCGCTGTTATGGCCAGCTGTGCAGTTCTAATTAGAGAAGAATGCTGATGGTATAATTATATAAGCGCTGTAGGTAAATTCTTTGATATAAGGAGCATTCATAAAGGAAGATCATGTAATATTTGTGCAAAATAACGTTGTTGTTTAAAAAATATTTCTAGATTCTCGCGTGTTGTTCAGATTATACTTATTACTTTATAAGAGGAAAGGTAAATTTTGTATACTATGGATAATGCTTTAACTTTTATCGGTGCTCGAAACGAAACCTAGATTAGTCCACTGCCTTACCGATGGACTTGCGTTGTATCTTACAACCGCCGGAATCGCAGTAAAAGGGAAGTGAAATAACTTGTAAAAATTGAGAACAAGAGCTGATGTGAATTAAATGCGAAGTTAGTGGGCGTCCTTCCATTTCGATGGCCTTGTAAGTTTTTGATTGCTTCATTTATGATTCAGATAGGCATTCCGTCCTCATGATTCATGTCTGTTTTGAAATGATCGCCATTCCGAGCTGAAGCTATAGAACTTTAAACAGATTTACGACAGAATTAGGAGACAAACAGTTGTTAAACTCATAACGATAGAGGTTCCCTATCGAGTCGACGGATTTTATGGATCATCTTGGGAACTCCTGACCAAGTTGATCATTGAAAGGGGCCAAGCCAGGTCGTGTTTGTAGATTTACGCACGCACACACACACACACACACACACACACACACACACACACACACACACACACACACACACACACACACACACACACACACACACACAAAAGGTTAAGTTTTAAATCATCACCATTTTCAATATGATACTAAAGTGGTCATATTACTAATATTTTTCCCAGAATTTCAAGGATTCCCATTATATTTCCACTGATTTATGAATATTGTACTGTGTTGTTGCTTCATATAAAATTAATTGATTCAGCATTGATTCATGACTCGTTACTCTGAGAGACTTTGTAATTACGAGGTTCTTAACCAGGTAATTTTGTTTACATAGGAGATTGACGAGCATATGTCAATATTTAGATCCGGATCGTATATTCAGTTTAGTTTAGATCTATAAATTATCCTTTAGACTGGTACACAGTTAAGTCATATACTGTTAGCATTTATATACACACATTTATATATACATACAGCTTGCTTATTTGCGAAATATATTTCTGTATGTATTGTATCAGTATTATACTTATAATAATCCTTATTTTTCTATTTTCCTTAATTTATTTCTTTACTAATTTTAAAGGAGAAAATAGCATATGTAGTTTTATGGTTATTATGTATATTTTAGTAGGAATATATAGATTTATAAAAGTCTATCTTCAGTGATATCCACCTCCATTCTGCGGAAAAGTCACAGCTGGACCGGAGACCTTTGCGTGCGGAGCTTTGCCGGAATATCTTACCTTCGCCACTAAACCATTCTTGTTCTCACCCGTATAGTCGACCTGTGTTTGCAAGAAGTGTTTCAGTGTTGAGTATTAAGTTTCTGAATGAAGTTTTTTTTTCTTTTTAGGATATATTGCACAGGCAGATCACGAGAACATTGCGATGTTGCAGATGGGGAATAGGAATTACATGCAGTCTGTGACCGCCGGGAATGCGCTGTTCCCGTCGGATTTTTCGCTGTGGCCTAATTCAGTTCCCTTGTAGTCATCGTTCACAGCGTAGTTGAAGCCATAAAGTATAGGGCCCTAGGGAGAAGGGAAGGTAATAAGCGGAAAATGGTGGTTAATATATTACGTTTAAGGTCTGCATCAATGGTATTTTACACTTACTGATGCACCTCTTGTGTAACAGCCATCACAACGATTTGCCTTTATTTCACTTGAAATATATTTTAAATTTTCATGTTACGATAGATGTAAGTCATTTTAAACTCAAAACACTTCTCACTTCCGCCTTCTCACTGTTGAATAACAGTCAGACACTGAATTTGAACGATAAGTTTTATTACTA